AATCTACTCTTGAGTTCTTACCTCTGTGAATGAACCAGTCAGGTTGTACATAAAGGCAGAGAGCTGGTTATCTTATTACATACAGAGGCAGGGTCTTTCTTTAACTTTTAAACTTTTAACAGAACTTTCTTTAACATCCCGTAAGGTCCCTCTGTTTGTGCTCGTCCCAGTTTCAAATTTGCCTCATCATCTTGAATCACGGTAACAATTTTTGTACTAGTAAATGTGTCCAAAAACTGTGCTACACGGCTCTAGTGACAAAGCCAAGGAGCTTATTGTACAGAGCACCGATGACAGCACAGCACGCTCTTTTTCAAAGACACGCACACCCTGGTTGACTTTTACAGGAAGTCGCAACCATCCATCCATCCATTTTCATATCTCTTCTTCCAGTTCAGGGCCACGGAGGATTCAGAATGTATCCCAGCAAGGAATGTGCCTCTGCCAGTCCATTGCAGTCCAGGGAAAACACAACCTATACACAGATAGTACCCCAGGTACAGAACTGAACCCAAGTTCCCAGAGCTGCAAAGCTGCAGTACTAACCACTGTGCCACCATGCCTCCCAAAGTGCCATCATGAATTTATTAGACTCACATTTTTATCTAAATTGACTTACAGTAACTGTGGACCATTGGACATTTTTCTGAATCAAGATGTGATTCCTGTGAAAGAAGTGGAAAGGATACCCGTCTGTGAACAATAATGTTCCTCTTCCCCCTCCCAGGTGCTCACCTGCAATTTATTTCCATGTTTCAGGATGATCCCCACTTCCGCAGGCTGAAGCTGGAAAAGGAATATTACAAACACAGCAAAAATTGACCTTTTAATATGGGACAGAGTTAAGCTGAGAGCAAGAAATTGTCATTAACAGGACCCAGCTGGGAAAGCAACAACAGCCAGATAATGAGCACAGGTGTGACCTTGGTAATGCTGGGAACAGAACAAGATGGGAACAGGTGAACTAATTTAGCGCACAGACCAGGGTGAAGAAAAGGGCACAGTTACAGAATATCCACTGTCTGCTTCACCACTCCCGTACAGCTGACGATGAATGAATTGAGTCTATTCTAACATTACCAACACATTAATAATGACAGAAAATCATCAACTATGCAGAGGAGTATATAGAATGCATGTGCACTATTCTCTATGAAGTATCCCAGAGAGCTTTACAGTACCTACAGGAGGGGACCCACTTCATCCATCACTGGAGTCCTGCTGTCACCTGGGTGACACCTGGCAGATTTTCTGCACCAGAATCCTCACTGCACAGCAGACGGTGAAAAATAAAAGGAGGTACAGTATCACATCGCCAGTTGAATGAAGCGAGGGGGCTATAGAGACAAGACTGTCAAAGTCAGCCAGGCAAGCCAGAAAACAAACACCCTTTCTGTTATGAACAGTGCCACCAGATGTTTATGACCAAGTAACCAGGATCTCAGTTTCACATCTCATCCAAAGGATGATCCTGTCTGCAGCACCCCAGTCAGTAATCTGGGAATGGATATCTCGTAATTCAGTTCTGAGGTAAAAACGCCCCCCACTTGTCCAACAGCATGACTTACGGCAGCAACCTGAATTTCACTAGAAGCATTTATTTCATTTCTGGAACATTTGGATAACTTGTTTTTTTAAGAATATGTGGAAGCATATTTCATGACTTCTAAATTAACAGAAGCAGCCTAAGTGTCTAATTGGAAACACGAATCGAAAACAGAGCAACGATCTATGATTTTTATACCTTTAGAGGGATTCACGTGAAAAAAAAACACTTGTTCAGACATTGCCCGTCTGGGACAACGGGTGATTCTCAGAGAAGTGTTTTATTAAAATGCTAAATGCTAAGAGTAGGGGTGTTACCTCGGCATCCTGGCCAAATTTCCCATTGGCCCTTACCAATCATGGCCTCCTAATAATCCCCACCTCTGAACTGGCTTCATTACTCTGTTCTGCTCCCCACTGAGAGCTGGTGTGTGGGGAGCGTTCTGGCGCACTATGGCTGCTATCACAACATCACTTTGAGTGGAGTGTCCAGAAACACTCTATACTGTATAAGTGTTAGCAATTATTATTATTATCATCTTGCATTCACGGTCCTTCCTTCTTTCATTCATTTCCACTGGAAGTTACACTGTATTGAGAGCTTGAACATTTCTTGGATACCTTATTACTGATATTGTACAAGCACGCATCACACTATTTCCCAGGATCTTTCCTTGAGATGTTAGATGTCACGGGAGCCGGTTTTGACTCCCGTGGAGTGCGTTATTAAAGACCCTATGCGGACTGTATAATCCGTAAAAGACCATGGAGGAAGGTACAACGGGGTTAGGATGGGTGGACAAGACAGGGGCGGTGACTGTAGTGAGCAGGTGCTCGGGGGAAATGCGGTAGCAACCAAGTCCAAGGAAATCCAAAAGGGAAGTCGGGGCGCAGTACATAATCCAAGAGCCGGGAGAGCCATCCAAGACAAACAGTTAAAAAGGGGAACCGGGTCGGAACCGGCACAGGAACAGGAGCTAAAAACATAACGAGACCAGATACTTTGACCCAGGCGATCAGGACGCCAGGGAAAAGGCCTGCCTTCGGAGAACCCAGAAAATACTCAAGTCAAGCTTTTTAACGTCCATCTTCCAATACTGAGCCTGGAACTGCAGAGACGCTAGGCTTTTAACCAAAAAGCAAACGAGATGCACCAGAAAATAATAGAAATTAATCATAACCGAAAGGGGTAGGAGCGCTCTCTAGGGGAGGGATGTGGAACGTAAAACACTAGAGATTCTCCAG